TTCACGGAATCGTCTGTTACTGTAGCCTTTCGACGTAGTTTGAAATCGTCGAGGTTTTCAGTTTCAGTCTTTTACTGTTGAGTCTTTGCACTGCGACCCAGGCCCGGTTTCGAGACGGTACATACAGCAGTAGCTGCAGGAAGGGATCTCGGTGAGAGAAGGACAACGCAGCTTGGAAGTTGGAGGAAGATATTACGTTTGGAAACCTCGAAAAAGTTGCGCACGCGCATTTTCTGTCGACATGGCTCCACATATGGAGATGGACTCAATTCAGGCCATAAATAAGGCCGCGGGAGATGACAAAAAAGATTCGGTCTCGGGTCATTCGTCGCAGGATCCGGAGAAGGCTATTCAGGTGGGCAGTGGGCCAGAGCTGCAGAGGAAGTTGAAGAGCAGACATTTACAGATGATCGCTATTGGTTCGTTACCTCTATGGACTGTCACACTTTTTCATCTCCACTCATGACAACATGGTTGATGGAGGTTGCTGGAATAGAATGAAGATACTAATAATGTATACTAGGTGGAACAATCGGCACAGGTCTCTTCATAGGATCCGGATCCGCCATTGCTGAATCTGGTCCAGCAGGTGCTCTCATCGCATATGCATTCGTCGGTACCCTCATATACAGCGTCATGATGTCCTTGGGAGAAATGGCAACCTTCATTCCTATTCCCGGAGCATTCACTCTCTACGCAGCACGATTCATCGATCCTTCGCTTGGATTTGCCATGGGATGGATCTATTGGTTCTCCTGGGCTACCACCTACGCTCTTGAACTCACAGCCACAGGTCTCATTATCCAATACTGGGCGCCTCAACTCAACATCGGCATCTTTATCTCTGTCTTCCTCGTCGTCATCTCCGGCGTCAATTTCCTCCCTGTTAGCTTTTTCGGCGAAATCGAATTTTGGTTTTCACTCATCAAGGTCATCACCGTACTAGGTTTCCTCATTTTCGGTATCTGTATCGATGCCGGAGCAGGTCAACAAGGCTATCTTGGATTCCATAACTGGGACAATCCAGGTGCTTTTGCACCCTATCTCATTGATCCCGAGAACCCCGTTTCCAAATTCGTCGGATTCTGGGCGGTACTTATCCAAGCCGGATTTTCTTATCAAGGAACCGAACTAGTCGGAATTGCCGCTGGAGAAACCGAGAATCCCAGGAAGAACGTCCCGGCCGCGATTCGCAAGACCTTTTTCCGAATCCTCTTTTTCTTCGTCGGAACAATTTTCTTCATCGGTCTCTTGATTCCATACGATAACCCAGATTTATTGTCCGGGAGCTCAGATGCATCCGCTAGTCCTTTCGTTATTGCTGCCAAACTCGCTGGTGTCAAGACACTTCCCGGACTCATCAACGCCGTGCTTCTCTTCGTCGTTCTCAGTGCCGCGAACTCTAACGTCTATTCCGGTTCTCGTATCCTGGTTGGTCTCGCGGAGGGAAATTGCGCGCCTAAATGTTTCTTGAAGACAACTAGAGGTGGAGTTCCCTACTACGCCGTCGCATTTACCTCTATTTTCGGTCTCCTGGCCTTCCTGAATGAGAGTTCTGGAGGCAGTGACGCATTTGTTTGGATCCAAAATATTTCTGCCGTCGCAGGATTTATCAGTTGGGCTTGTATTTCCGGATGTCACATTGCTTTTATGAAGGCACTCGCAGCCCGGGGTATCAGTCGCGATCGTTTGCCTTATAAATCGATGTGGCAACCGTGGTTCGCGTGGTATGGATTGGTATTTACGGTTTTGATCATTATCACCCAAGGATTCACAGCTTTCATTCCAGGATTCCAGGTCAAAGAGTTCTTTGTAGCTTATATCAGTTTGATATTATTCATAGTTGCTTATTTTGGACATAAGATTATCTGTAAGACCAGAATTGTGGGAAGTTTGGAGGCGGATTTGGATACTGGTTGTCTGGGACTTGATGATGAAGGGGCCATTGATTGGGAGGCGGAGGAGCATACGACTTTCAAGGAGAAGGTTGTCAATTTCTTTTGTTAGGAGGCGCAGATGGACTGGTCAGAACTGGGATCGGATGGAGGTAGAAGGAGGTATTTGAATTCCTCCTTCTGGAATTCCTCTAATGATTTGACGGTTGTGAGCATAGTATCTGGAGCCTCTCTAACAATGGTTACGAAGCAACTTTGTTTTTGAAATGATGGTATGGGAATTATATTGATGAGGGCGTTTTGAAGCATGAGTATGACTTCTGAAGAAGAGACGAAACTTTAATATATGGAGATAATTTAGATGATTAGGTAGAAAGAATGAATTCCTTACTCTAAATTGGTACATCTTCATTGAACTGGGGAGGTGAAAGAAGATGTGAGGTAGAAATGAGACACAAAGACTTTGAGAAGTGAAAGATAAGCTAAATCAGGATATATTGTTCAGGAAAGAGTCAAGAATAGATATGATCTTACTTCCTGGTGGAATGGGATGGCATGATATTCTTCCTGAATTGGGGGCCCAATTAAATGCCAGCTGCGAGCTTCCTATGTGTACAGATAATTCTGTCTAGGATTTCAAATCTAGAACGTTTAGGTCATGAAAACCGCATACAGATACTCTTCCACTCTACTTCGGATCACTACTTGTGCAATATGAACAATGCATTACCTCCTCAATTGAGCTAGGGATAGTGGAAGCCCTCGCTTACACATTATACGTAACTGAAACTTGAATATAAAGAAGTCACCCCCATGGAAGTCACCCCCATGCCTTGAAATATCTCTCGTCTAAATTCACAATCTTTCTATACAAATCCATGCAGCCAATCATATCTCACCGACAAAAGTTTTGTTGCATATCTGAAAAAAGAAAGAAATTGAAAGTGAGATTTACTTCTCATCACATCTAGAAACTTTGAGGCAACCTCGCCTAGCGAGGTTACCTGCCTCACCTTAGTTTGGACATGAGGATCCTCACTCGCAGGAGTCTCTTCTAACGATCTAAGTCGATGACTTGCTAATTTCATCAATTCGATTACCGTCTGATTTGGCTAACACCGCAGAAAGTTTCCTTCCTAAATCTTCGGAGAGGAAGGTTGAAAAGTTGAAGGGGGATGATCACTTCGCTAGGCAAGGTCGTCATCAAAGTCATCTGCACTACATTCAAACTTTACTCTCAATATTCAATGATATTCAAGCTCAGAAAGTTTCTTTTTGAGATGTCTCAGAATGACAGGTCGATGAAAGCTCTTTTCCTCGAGCTCCCAGACTTGGATGATGAGTTGGGTTTCGAACTATAAAATGTTCCAGAGTTGGACAGATAGCGAAGTTGCCACCACGTTCTAAACCCATTTGCGGTGTATCACTCTTGTGAATCCACAGAACTTTATCTCGAGCATTCAGGAAATAGACTTTACGTTGAGGGACGAAGCTTTATGAGGTCTCGATTGAGTTTGTTAAGTTTAAGACTTGTCAAAAGTCAAAATGTCTTGGCCATGAGTAGTATGACATCTTATTGACTAATGATTCACGTGATATATAACTAATCGATTTCAGTCTTCGAACTTTGTTGCATGTCTATAAATTGAATTGATCAATGTGTTCGAAGTTTGCGGAGTAGGTACGGGATCCCGCGATTGTGGCGCTAAGGAATCCTGTGTCATTGATATGTGGAAAAAAAGTTTTTTTAGTATCATAGAATAGAGTTTGTTTAGAAAATACTATATAATCCCATCAGAAGTGATTAGATAGATACATTATTGTAATAACGTTACCTTATCTAAATTCTTTAATAAAGAAAGGGAGACATAGTAACGACTAAGCGACAGAATTCCGTAGGGGATTTGACATCCTGACAATTGGACACATACTCCACATGTATCTTCCTATGTAATTCAATGGGATCTGGCTTTTACATATTACAGTAAAAACTTACGATTGATCCAACCTTATCTTTCTACAGTAAAATTTCCTTGCATATCTGGAAATAGCATTGTTCTCGGTAATGGTTTCAAAGTCTTTTTCTCTGAACAGCTAAATTATAGTCAATAAAGAGAACAGTGAACATCAAAGCTCTAGGTTTTCCTGATATTGGTGGGGAAAGAGTTGTGAGACCTGTAGCTATGGGCGTGAATAGCCTACGGAGGTTTCCGGATAAGATCAACGTTCGCGCGACGCAGCGGGGAACATCTTATCTTTTAGAGAATTCTACCTCTAAACTCGTGCCACGAGTAGCAAGTATCTACGAGAGTGCTTTGAAGTCTCTAGTTGCTCTTGACATCTCTGCAGTATACTAATACATACAAGCATGGTAATTTGCCCAAGTTTATACTAAGTGCCGCTTCACAGATTACACTTACCAGTATTAGCTTGCTATTTGGGTCTGTCAACCTCAGATTAAGCACTCCTAGATTCGATTCAACGACCAAGCACGTATCACTCCCTTCACTCCCTTTCTGCGCTTCCACGATGATGGTATACACCAAACCAGAATGTGGAAATCGATAAGCAGCGCGTACGAGTAATCAACCATTCTACTATTTGCACAACTCCCCCCTATCGATATTATCTTGGGAGTTACGGCCACCGGACCCTATTCCACACATACATATCTTCAACACATAGAAGCCAAGGAGACATTTGGAAAAGAAGTGATGTGCGACCAACGGACATGAACTCGACTCTGTCCTCTGTGCAATACCAGCCAAAAAATATTTGGATGTCCGACTGCCATAAAAATGGAGAAGGGCGACACGACTGTGGATGTGGCACATGTGGTTTATAAAGACCCTGAAATGCAGGAATTGAATGAATTCTCGAGCTGTGGATACAATGGTAAGCTTACTATTACGAGAAGCTGCAATTGTATAGCAGTACTAGTTCACCAATTCTAGCATCTCCGACGACAATAAGATAATCGCTATTTACTCATACGGATTCGAATATACTCTATCCCTCGATCACCGCGGCACTAGCACGAGATGTCTTGCTTATACGGGAATACGATGCGAGCTTCACATTGAAAACGGAACGTCCATCGATAGTTTAATATGCAATGCCCATCGAATTGGTTCTGCCGCTTGTTACCCGTACAATCATATTACATTGCATTCGATATATGCGGAGGTTTGCATGGGAGATTGGGTTAGTAAGAGTGCATGATGCGGTGGAAACTTCTTCGGTGAGTAGTTTGGGGATGTCGGACGGACGTTGCATATGGTGCCATGTGCGATGTGCGACTTTGGATGTCGTGAGACGAAAATGATCTGCGGCGTGGGGAAATTCTTGGTTGTATATCGGGTTCCGGGTCGGAGAATGAATATGGGGAAGACTCGGACTACAGTCTTGATTTGGAATAAAGAGACATTGAATGATGGCCCGAAGAAGGGAGAAGAGGTAGGTTTTGTTTGCGGCAGGCGTGCCAAGGGCAGAGTGTAAGTTATGACCAGGAATATCGGGTCTTTTTTTCTTCTTCGTTTCGGGGCATGGGCATTGCCACATGGTAATTGCTCTTTCATGTACGTCTTGTGCGGTCTTCTGCGAGAACCGTATCTAGAGCAACATTTCTCACGGAGAGGTTTGTGATCGGGACAGGCCATCAGCCAGGAGAAGGCAGTTGGGGTATGGCAATTATCACTACCTCTCACAAGTTGCAAAGTTTAAGCCCACGTTAAAATGCAATCAAAATTTTAACAATCGTCCTCTCTATCCACATTGTCGCTGGATTGCGTAGTCGCAAACATATCCTCGCTGATACGCCTCTATGATGTCCTATTTCCAAGATCCGAACAAGCCCAAAATAAATGCGTTATGCCCGGCGCTGAAACTCCTCTATGGTGCTGCATCTCAAAATCCAAGTCGGGCTCGCCAATAACTTTCTTATTTCCCATCCAGTAAAGAAAGCCCTAATAACGAAATTCTTTCGATCCAAGCAAAGAATGCATACATTCATTATCACAGCCTCCCCCATTGAACCCAATTTGACGCCTCAATGGTATTTCCCACATGTAGCCGCCTTTTCCGTCCTATATCTCGTCCTATGTGCCTCACAACCACAAGTACTGCGCGCAAACATCCGATACGCATAGCCAGCAACCAAAACACATACAAAAAGAATCAGGAGCAAAGGAGGCTCTGATATTTTTGAGCTGATAGGTTGCATTGGTGCACCAGATGGAACAGCAGGAATCGCTAAATATTCTTTCTGTGGCCGAGCAGGAGCATAGGGGACATAGGGGTGTGTTTCGTGGAGAGTCGCTTCGAAAAATGGGGTTTCGTGGTAGGACATCTCGTTTGAAAATAGCGGGAACGTAGACTTTTTCGGAGGGGGAAGAGGAGGCATGCTGAAGGTTTGTTCGTTATCGGATGTTTGCTGGTAGTAAGTAATATGGTGAGTAAGATGAGGGAAGGGGTATTTGGTGGTTTGGGGGGGGTTTATTGATGGTTTTGTTTTATGGAATGCTTTCGTTTGGATCAAAAATGTTTCGAAGATTCATCTTCTTGTTTCTTCCTGATGCTTCGTTCTTGCTGTTTGCTGTTGAGGGGGTTTCCAAAGTATGAGCAGGTTATTCTTGTGTGGTATGCCATGGTGTGCAATTAGGTTTACTTAACTGCACCCGCCGCTATTTTCGTTGCGAGTCGGGCTTGAATATCAGTCTTTTGTAGTGACAGATAGCCATTTCATGACTCCGATATGAATTTTGAGAAACTTGGAAGTGCTGTTTGAAGTCTGTAAAGAATTATTAAATCGGGTAGGATAGGTGGTTGGGGGTGGTTATGGGAACTTCTGAGCTCTTTTGGCACGAGATCGAGCAGCGGGAGCGCAATAGAAGAATTGATGAAATTGCGAAAATCAACACGATGAGATTCGAATGTAGAGTAGATGTGATTGTATAGTTATAGTTAGGACAATATCACGTATACTCTCCCTGATGCACATCACGCCATTCATTATATTCACCATGCGCAGTAAAATACTCACCATATTTACTTACCTCCCACATTCGTCTTAGCGAATTGTCCTTTCAAAACGGTGGGGGGAAATAGCCATGTGCATTTGGCCAGCTATACCATTCTTTATATAAAACCATGTTCAAAGAACAGCGTAATCTGCACCTCAGAGCCTCCCTTGTCTCATCTGCACTTCTCATTGGTGCTGATGCGCCAGCGCGTATAACACCTTTTTGGGCCGGATATCCGAATTTACCTTGACATCGTATGTTTGAGTTTTTCCCGAGGGGTTTCCCACTTCAATGTTGTTTTGTTTTGTACTGTCCTAGATTTCACCCCGCCTTGATTTCAGAATTTCAAGAATTAGGGTTAAAGAATTAGAGTTAAAAATGCCTTCGTGTGTATCTCTCCCCGGGTCTGAATAGCTGGTACTAATAAAGCGGTAGCGAAGTAGCGAAATCGAATTTGACAGTCCTGATAGTAGGCGGAGGAATCGTGGGATTGACACTGGCTCAAGGATGTAGGGAGAATGGGATTGAATTTGAGATTGTGGAGAAGGACGAGCATGGGAAGAGAGCGCAAGGGTGGGCTATTACTTTGCATGTGAGTTTAAGGAGAAAAGGAAGAGGGGCCGATTGGCAGTAGGGGAGTTGGTGATGGTGGTGATTTTGATGTTGATGGGATTATTGATTGATGAGTGGGTACTTCAAATCACGGATGGGGAATTGGCAAGACGGCTGAGAAGGGTATGAAGGGATAGCTGCTAATCAGACAATAATATAGTGGTGCTTGAGAAGCTTGGAAAGAACGATTGGGGAAAAATTATCCGAGTTGATACCTACGGTAAGAATTTCCTGGCACGAAATTCAGAAATTGTGTGAAATTTCGTGACAAGTCGGAAGCGACGAGATGCAAACATCTCAGAGAAGCCACGTGTTACCAAATTGCCGACATAAAATGATCCGACATCTAATATATCTAAACACAACAGGCAGCCGTCGATCCAGACCTCAACGATGACGATGGAAATTTTCTATTCCTCAACGCCCGTACCGCCTCACCGCGCTACAAAATCCCACCAAGCAAACTCCGTCGACGATTAGATCGACAAAAAATCCGCAATGTACTCGCCACCAATCTCGATATCCATGAAGGAAAGGGTCTTACATCAATTGCCCTGGCCTCAAATTCTGATCTCGTGACCGCGCAATTTTCGGATGGGACGTCAAGTGATGCCACCTTGGTTGTGGGTGCTGATGGAAACAATAGTGTGATGCGCAAGTGCTTGTTTAATGGGTCTAACGAGGCTAACTTGACAAAATTACCTGTTTATTGTATTGGAGTCGTGAGGCCTTTTACGGAAGAACAGATTTCATCTGTGAGAGCCATCGATCCATTGTTATTCCAAGGATTAGACCCGGAAACTGGAAGTTATATGTGGTTTAGTTTGCAAGAGATAGTTCAAAAAGACGATGGAAGTAAGAGCTATAAAGGACTGGTGGTTTTTTCTTGGTTGATTAAAGACGAGGTTGTGGATGCGATGCCGAAGACTGATGCTGAGAGAGTGGCGTATATGAAGAAGAGGACGGAAGGGTTTGCAGAACCATTGAGGAGCATTGTTACGGGTATTCCGGAGGATATCAAGACGACTCCGTTGAGATTGAGTGACTTTCCGACGAAGGAATGGGACAATTGGGGTGGAAAGGTGACATTGGTGGGGGATGCTGCGCATGCGATGACTATGTGAGTTTTTTAGATTTCTTGATTTCTTGATCTTACTCTTGCCGTCGTATGAATATGAAATTTGAGAGGGATGGATAAGTGGAAGTTGGTAGGAATTAACATGATGAATAGGTATCGAGGCGAAGGGGCCAACCACGGCATTCTGGACGCAGCTCTTCTAGTCGATCAATTGAAAAAGGTCACAGCTGGGGAAATTACACAAAAAGAAGCAATTGATGCATACGAAGCAGAGATGAGACCAAGAACTTATGAGGCAGTCTTGAAGAGTAGACAAGCTGCACTGGATGCTCATGATTGGGATGTGTTGACCGAGAATTCTCCTGTGATTGGGGGAAGGTTTGCTCCTAAAACGGCTTTCATTTGATCGGAAATAGAAGGGGATTGAACAATTAAATGGTCAGAGGCAAAGATAAAGATGGATGGACAAATCAAGATAGATGCAGAGGTAGACATAGGTTCCGACGTATGAGATTTTATGATACAATATTCGTTGAATTGGGAGGGTTTATAGAGTAATTCGAGGTCCGATGTCTAGCGACTAGCGAATCCAGCAAATGGCTGAATCTTTTTGATGTCGAGTGGTGCACCCAAGAGTCCCTCCTCAGACGAAAGCTTTCCAAGTTCAATGAAGTAGGATTTCCCGAAATGAGCAGTCAATGCAGCTTCATCTTCATCTAAGTATTGTTAGCATCTGTAATTCCTCACGTGCCATTTGTACTTTTATGGCTGAAGATGCGCGAGTGGAAAATAGTGGGACGAGAGGAACATACAGGTTTCTTGGACAATGAAGACACTTCCCTGTTCACCATCATATTGCTGGAATGCTTGGTACTTACGAACTGCCGGTTCGTTCTTCTCGACTTTGTTTGCGAGGTCGGTGATGAGTTCTCGGAGCTGGAAATGTTATATTAGCTCGAATTAGTATTAGTGAGAATATTGAGGCACATACACGAGCCTCCTTTCCCGGTGCGGGAGTAATAGTTGCTAAGCAGTGAACTGGTGCCATTATGTATATGTCAAGATTTCTTCAGATATGAGGCTCTAAGAGGTTTAAAGAAGGTAAATAAAAGGAAACTTTGAAGAAATGGTTGAGGTCTTAAACACTCGTTTTAAGCAGCTAGGGGACCGAGGTCATTCTATGGAAGCTCGGGATCCCTCATAACCTAACTTATCGGACTTAATGAGCTTGATTGATAATTTGGCAAGGAACTTAGTTATGATACAGTAAAACCTCTCTATAAGGATCTGGCAAATGAGAATAATCTCTATAAGGATATATTTTGGGGTCGCATGGGATTTTAGGTTTAAAACCGATCTCTATCCTTAAAACCTCTTCGTAAGGATATCCTTATATTTTGAGGCCTTAAGATCATGTGTATCTGTATCATAGTAGAAAATGCCTTAGAAAATGTGAACCGATCGGCCTCGGTAAAAAAGCCGGTATGCTTATGGAGAGATTTTGCTGTTGGCTCAAAATTGGATCCATTATCTGCTTTGCTCCGCAACAATTGGTATAAGCGTCGGTGGAGCTGCAGAATCAGTGGCTCAAATTTGATCTTGACAAACGTGGACATTTAAAGATTCGTAGATGAAGTCATATTTGAAGCCAATATGACTTCATATCGTATGCATCTACCGGCCACTCCCGCAACAACAATAACGCATTGCAAATATTCAGTCGAGCCGGTAAACTTTGTCGCTCAAAAAAGGAGCAACATACCCACCAAAGCGGTGAGACGCGGCAATATGAACACCACATCCATCCATCCGAATTCAATCAGAATGTCTACTCACACTATCCCCAAGCC